ATTACACATACTTCACATTCTCACCACGATTCATTATATAAACCTCAATGCACATTTCATAACTGGGCATATTCGCCAATCATACTTCTACACATACACATTATTTCCACATAACATTTACAATATAACACCAAGCATATACAATATGCGTCAACCATGTTTATATTAATTCATAAACTCACAAAACATACATATACATACATTCACACACACACACACACACACACACACACACACACACACACACACACACACACACACACACACACACACACACACACACACACACACACACACACACACACACACACACACACACACACACACACACACACACACACACACACACACACACACACACACACACACACACACACACACACACACACACACACACACACACACACACACACACACACACACACACACACACACACACACACACACACACACACACACACACACACACACACACACACACACACACACACACACACACACACACACACACACACACACACACACACACACACACACACACACACACACACACACACACACACACACACACACACACACACACACACACACACACACACACACACACACACACACACACACACACACACACACACACACACACACACACACACACACACACACACACACACACACACACACACACACACACACACACACACACACACACACACACACACACACACACACACACACACACACACACACACACACACACACACACACACACACACACACACACACACACACACACACACACACACACACACACACACACACACACACACACACACACACACACACACACACACACACACACACACACACACACACACACACACACACACACACACACACACACACACACACACACACACACACACACACACACACACACACACACACACACACACACACACACACACACACACACACACACACACACACACACACACACACACACACACACACACACACACACACACACACACACACACACACACACACACACACACACACACACACACACACACACACACACACACACACACATATATATATATATATATATATATATATATATATATATATATATATATATATATATATATATATATATATATATATATATATATATATATATCTTCAAGCATACCAATCATTCCAATCATCCACAATTCACATAAACATTTACACTTATGTTCATTCACCATACATCATGCAAGATGTCAACATGCAACTCATAGAGACCGACTCACAACTCTATGCAGATGCAAATGCGGTACCGACTCATTTCAACAGGTTCAATTGAAGAACCAAATGAAATCATCGCTCGTTACCGAAGTAACTCCCCGTCGGGCCTACGATGTTCACCCATCGCTCACACCCCACATGGGCACACAATGTTTCAGGATTGCTCACACCCCACACGGGCACACAATCCGATTGCTCACACCCCACACGGGCACACAATCGTTCTGGAGATTCACTATGGAATCAATCAACACAAGAATGCACACCATGATGCTTCACATGCAACATGACTCATGACACTCTTGAAATGCACACATGTTTACAAACACACTCATGCATTCTTCACATTTATCGCATATATTCATTTATGCATTCAAAATATATATATATATCACAAAACATATATATTCATCATTCATTCACACCATTCAAACATGGCTCACATTCACGATCAATTCCTCATGCATTTCTATTCAAACTAAGCAAATGCACAAAATTGCCAACCGGCCACACTTATGCTTCACAAACCATAAACTAGGATTCACGCCATACGGCTACCTACAGCACATCACAAATCAGCACACAAGCTATTAAACCAAAGAAGGGTCGATCGCAACCAAAACCCCAAGCCACAACAGCACACAGCAGCAGGGAAAACCCATCCTGCTACGTTCGCTACACGCTCGCCTAGCGAGCTGCTAGCGAGCGTTCGCCACTTGCTCGCCTAGCGAACTGCTAGCGAGCACAACAGAAGCTCCAGACTTCGTTCGCTACCTCGTTCGCCACAGCGAACCTCCAGCGAGCTCCTCGCTGCAAGCGAAGGACATCAAAACCATTTTGTCCTAAGTCTGGAACCGTTCGTTGCGCACTCGCCTAGCGAACTGCCAGCGAACACTCGCGACCTGCTCGCCTAGCGAGCTGCTAGCGAGCGTCTGCGATTTCCACTTCTCCCCACTGTTCAGAATCCAAAACCACCGATAAAATCACCCGATGAACTCCAACTCATATCCAGTAGCCTTAGTCTAACATATATCGACTAATCTACGTCATCTAATCACGATTCTAACCGTTAAACAACGATTTCTATCGATTAAACCAATTTCGACCTAAAATGGAAAGTGTAGAAAACTACCAATCAATCCAAAACAATCCAACAAAAATCATACATGATTATACACATTGATATAATAATAAGGTTTCACACCCTTACCCGATTGATTGAAGCTTGGAAGTTGTTTCTTGATGAATTTCTAGGTTTTTCTCCATTTCTCCTCTTTCTCTTCTCTTTTCTTCTTTTCTTCCTTTTTCTTTCTATCTCATTTCTTTTCTCTCTAATTCTCACTTATATCTCTTTCTATTATATTCTATTTCTCCTCAAAATACCTCTTAAAATATTTTCTCAAAAAATACCTCACTTAATATAAAATACTAAATGTCTAAAATACCATTTAATCTATTTTCCCCGAAAACTCTCCGAATCGGTAAAATAGCACAAAAAGAAATTAAACGTATCGACACATAAATTCCATAATTAAAATAACATTCATCCAAATAAATCAAAAAGGACTCAAACAAATTGGGAAATTCAAAACCGGGGAGTTACACGAGGCTCTTGTACCACGTCATCGCGCCCTTCCTCAGGGTCATGGGAAAGAGTATGCATTTTATGGCTCCCCAAACGTTACGGTAGTCGAGCATCGCATTGATGCTCTCAATGTGGTCGTCCGGGTCGGTCGTGCCATCGTAGGTCGCCAGACATGGGGGTTTCTCCATCCCGACGGGAAAGGGAGTCTTCATGATGGCTCTAGACAATGGACTGTGGGGGTCATCCTCGTCGCTTCTGATTGGTGATTGTGACGGGGAAGGGTCGTACCGAGGGCTCCTGTGGCGTGGCGAGCTCCCTGGTCGACTCTTCGGTTTCTCCGTCTTTCCACCAGCTTTGTTTCTCTTAGGAGCCGGGGAGCGTCACTGTTTTCGGGGAGGAGTGCGATCACGCTTCTGGGTAGCCACGGGTTGAGGCCTTTCCAACAGCGGGGAGAGGCTCTGAGACTCCTCTCATTGAAGTCCCCTCTGGGGAGAGGGAGGACGGGTCTCTCGTCGTCGCAGGGACAAGTTACGAGAAATCAGACGCCGATGTCTCCGCGGGGGAGAGCGCGATTGTCGTTCCTTCTCCACCATCCCGATCCGTTCGTTTTGTTGGAAAATCATCAGGTTCGTCTGGTTGATTGCCGCGAATAAGGCCACCATGGTCGGGTCGGCGTTGGGTGGCATCATCCGGGGAGGGAGAGGCGGTACGCCCGTCCCTCAGGTCACCCTCTTCAAGGGGACATCCACGTTGGGATCGCGGTTGTCACCGTTAGTGAAGGTGGTGAAAGCAAATTCATGGACGTTGTCGTCAACGTGTGGGCTGGCCATGATCGACGGAAGTTGAAGGTTTACTTTGGTCTTTTTATTTCGGAGGAAGAAAAGACGGGGAAGCAAAAGGTTCCCATAGACGGCGCCACTGATCTTACCGGATCAGAAAAGAGATCAGCAGCCAGCAACACGTCGTTAGCTCCCAATTCGTCGGTGGTGAAGAGGAAGAAGGTGTACCTGCAAGGCACTCTGATGCTAAAGTAAGTTTCAGCAAGAGAGGGAAAGCAAGTACATAAAAGAGTTAGAATATCTGACACTCTTGTGAAAGAGGGTATTTATCATGTGCCCCAAGCGCTGGGCCAACAGTTATCTACATTGGGTTAGATCATTAGGCCCGATACAGATAACCGCCAGGATCTACATGACGTAAGAAAGACAAACACGTGGTCTTCATTCTGAGTCAACTGCCCCTTTGAAAGGTGGAGGACCTGTTCTCTCGAACACGAGTAATTGGCTGACAACATGTCCCCGAGTGGAGACCGTGGGAAAGACACGTGAAGAGCATTCTCCATGCAAGTTGATGGATGAGACCATTATTGAATCCTTTCCAAAAAGAGTTGGATTGGGACGTGCCCAACTGTGAGCCAGCTTCTAGTCCAGTCCAATCATCACAACAAATAAATGATATTGAAATTTGAACAACAAAGTTTTTTATATTATAAATGCAAAATATTTTTTGTGAACAAATTAAAACTTGACAAACTATTTTTTTTTTAGTTTCTCATGTTTTTAAAAGTTATATCATCGAACAAAATTTGTAATTTGTTCTCTATTTTAATAAGTAAAAATGCAATCCTGATTCAAACAGACAATTATTTCTAAAAACAATTATAATATGAGATGGTAACCTCGAGTTCATTTTGATAATTTTTGTTTAATTAACAATAAAAAAAATTCAAAAATTAATCATTAAATTTATTGTTAACTAGACAAAAATTTATTATTATAATACGGAATCAAAATAAACCTTGTGGTTAATGAATATATGAGACTAAAAATGATATTAAACCTATAAAATTAAAAAACAAATTGAAACTGAAGCTATCAAAAGATGTTGAGGTCCTTTAACAACTACCAAACTGTCTCTGCATTAACTTACATTTAACTACTTCCTCACATTACAACACTCAAGTTTCATTCAATTTGTTTTATTTAAAACACAGGATTTTCCTCAGATAGCAGCTATACCAAAACTCATGATTTTCCTCAGTTCCATTTCTTTATTATTAAACAAACTAACGATTTCAGTGATTTTGATGTATAACTTCTGACATCCGTGGCGGCCTTACATTCTAGGGGGATCTGAAAGCTTCACCAGCATAACGCACAGTTCCAAGTTCCTCTTCAATTCGAAGAAGCTGAAAAGAAATTGAACAATGTCAAGAGGGGTAGTCTTGAATTGAGGAGTAAACAAGTTAACACGCGATTGCAGTTACCTGGTTATACTTTGCCAACCGTTCGCTTCTACATGGAGCACCGGTCTTTATCTGGACGAAACAACATGGATATTAACATGAAAGCAATTAACATCTTACACAAGAAGATTAAATTCACCAAATAACAAGAGTAAGGAAATAGAACCTGTCCACTGGCCAATCCAACAGAAAGATCAGCAATAAAGTTATCCTCAGTCTCACCACTCCGATGACTAACCATGACGCCCCAACCCGCAGCCTTTGCGTCAAGTGCAGCCTGAATAGATTCAGTCACTGTGCCGATCTGGTTAACCTGCACACAATGGATTACACTGCTGTCAATAGTAGATTGTTGGTAATGGACACGGATATGGATTATGGGTATCCATACCATTAAGAGACAGAAAATATGTTGAGTACTGCTAACCTTTAGTAATAAACCATTGCAAGCCTTCTTTTGAATGGCTTCAGCTATTCTCTTTGGATTTGTAACTAACAAATCATCTCCTACAAGTTGAATATCAACCGAAGAGCGTAGAGAGGCCCATGAACCCCAATCATCTTGATCAAAAGGATCCTCGATCGACACAATGGGAAACTCTTTCACAAAGTCTTGATAAAGTTGACCAAGACTGTCAGCAGAGTGAACATGAGTTCCATCATTTGGTTGTTTCTTGAAGTTCAAATCATATTTCCTGTCCTTAGTGTAAAACTCTGAAGCTGCTACATCCATACCAATTTTAATCTGCATTTTTGTTTTCCATTTTCTGATCAGTACAAGTGGATATTCAAATCCTGCAACAGAATATAATAATGAAAACACGTCTTACCTTTCCGGTATAACCAGCCTTCTCAATGGCATCAATTAGTAAAACAAGTCCCTCTCTGTTATCCTGAACATTGGGAGCAAATCCTCCTTCGTCACCAACGTTACAAGCATCTTGTCCATATTTTGCCTTGATTATGCCCTTTAACACTTGATATACTGTTTTAGCATATATATAACCAAGTTAAACTGATTGTCGCTATAACAGATTGTTGGTGGCAGGATTGGAAAAGAAACAAGAAACATATGCTATAATAATATGCAGTCATGAAAACATGTAACCGGTTGAACCAGGAACCGACCAGTTGATTACATGGGAGTTAAACCAAATCAGGTTGAACCATCGGTTTGATCTCCAGTCCGTTTTTAAAATATTGATATAAATATAAATTCTGAAACACACTTCCTCGGTATGATTACAGTCATAAAGAATTAAGTTTCTAACCTTCGCTGCCCATGCGAAGTGCCTCAGCAAATGAAGTAGCACCAACTGGTAGAATCATAAACTCTTGCATAGCAAGATTATTACCAGCATGGCTGCCTCCGTTTATAACATTAAAAGCTGGAACAGGCATGACAAGTTCCTTTGTTCCAGAAATCTGTTGAATATGTTTGTACAAGGGTACTCCTTTTGCTCCAGCACCAGCTCTACACACACTGAGCGAAACTCCCAATATTGCATTAGCGCCAAGTTTTGACTTGTTAGGAGTTCCATCAATTTCCAGCATAATAGCATCAACATCAGCTTGATTCCTTGTTATCCACAAAAATATAGATGTCAGTTGTTTAGCACAAAATGTCAAAAGCTGTGCAGGGATATTAGATACGAAAGTGCCAATTCCAAAACGCATAAAAACAAAACAAAAAACAGTTACCTAACATCGACACCAACAAGCTTTGGAGCCAAAATGTCATTAATATTGCTGACAGCATTAAGAACACCTTTCCCACCATAAACACTTTTATCCCCATCTCTAAGCTCCAAAGCCTCGTAAATTCCGGTAGAAGCCCCACTCGGCACACCCGATCGGTAAAGCTGATCAGTCACCAGATCAACCTCCACCGTCGGATTCCCTCTGCTATCAACGATCTGTCTCGCCTTCACTGACTTGACAGTGTACTCCCTTGACACCTTTGCGGAAACCTCGGACGGAGCAGCGGCCGTTGCCGAGGCGACGAGGGATAGTGACCGACGTGATTTTTGGGTTTCATGGAAGGGGAGGGAGTGGGGCGAAGGGGGGATGGAGGAAGAGGGTTGAGTTTGGAGAATGGTTTTGATTGTGGGTTGATGTGTGAAACTCAAAGCCATTGTGTGTGTTTTGAGTTTTAGGAGTTTAGGGGTTTGTGGGAAAAGAAAGTGTTTGTTTATATTAAATGTTGTTGTTGTTGTTGGTGGGAAACTCCGTCAAAGGCGATGAAACTTAACTTTAAAGTCAATGTCTTCTTGCTTTGTTTGTTTGATGTTTTTCTATTCATTGGGGTTCTTTGTTGGGAGTAGGTGGTGATAATACTACTTTTTTTTTTACTACTTTTTCTTTTTCATTCCTCAATTAATAAAAAAATCAAGTTAGGAATGTTAAAAAAAACCGACCTGATCCAAATGAAAAATGTTAATTGAATTGAACTAAATTGAAATCGGTAAAAAAATCACATTTGATTTAGTTGTTTTTAAGTCATTATTTAATAGAACCGCGTGGTTCAGTTTGTATTTTGTTTGAAATTTTTTGGAAAAGAACATGAAAAAAAGAATCAATATCACTCACACAATGAGTATTAAAATTACATGTTCTCTGATTACTCTCAAACGCCTTTATTTTAAAAGCCTATAGTCGATTGACCCATGTGCTTACTCAACATTTTTCATAATACATGTCTTTCCACTCCCTGCCATTTTATGATTCTATCACCTTTTCACTTTCATTTAAGTCCCTAATAATTGCCATGATTGAAAAGAGAGTGTGAAGTGAGGGAAAAAGGTGTATACCTATGGACGAGCAGAAAAAAGAACTCTGAATTTAGAGAAGACAGACATCTTGCTTTGAGAAGGGGGAATATGGTAACATGTTTGAAAATGTGATAAAATATCCCCTTTTATAATATTACAAGCTATGAGAATTAGGTAGTGATTGTCATCACTAGGCATACCAACAGACTCCACACGTCTTAAACACGCACATACTCCTTTATTCGTTTTATATTCTCATGAAAGCCTATCATTAGCAGCATTTAATGTTTCACGTGCTAATGTTTGTGAATTTTGAAGGACATTCCCCATGCTCTGATTGAGTGACTTACCCTAACCTATTCTTAAATAACTCACTTCACGCTTCGCCCAAAAAGCTTTTATAGGTTTGTCCAAACTTGATAACCCAAAATACTCTGGTTAAATCACTTCTCCCTTTCCAAGACCTCGTGCTTGAGGGATTGTGTACTAGAATAATCTTATTAGGTCCTAAGAAAGAAGGTTCATAAGTACCTAATACAACCTCATTTCCTTAACATTGTTCGGGTGCCTAACACTGTTTGGGTGCCCAACACATAGGGATATGTCACCTTACATGTGGAATGAAGTTGTCAAATGTGTGGTGATAGGCCGACCTATTCTGATTGGGCCACCTGAGCTAACTCTCACTCCATATTTTCTCAATAAATATAAGTAATAATGTGTCCCAACTGTGAGTGATTGGATAGAAAGTATAAACGAAAACCGGTTCCCCCATAGCTCAAGGAAGAACTAATTCCCTCCTTTATACGTTTCTGATAAAGGAGTTAGGGTAACCACTTTCTAGCCTAGTCCGAAGAAGCCTTTCATGTATACTTCATTCCCATAAGAAGGGATCAAATCTCTCACGCAAAACCAAATACAAAGCTTTCCATGTCCATACGTGAGTGAGCTGTCACCACACTCAATAAACCTAAAACCTTAAAAAAAACTACACAAAAAGGGGTTGTCTCGCATTGTAATTTGTATAAAGTGCACTCATTAAGAACACTAGTGAAATTTTAAGAATAGAAGTATGCATGCATCATTGAAGGTCACGTGTATGCCATTGATTGTATCAAACTAGAAATAACCTACATTGTGCAATTATGTTGGTTTATCAATAGATCTAGTATAGACAAATATCACACTATCGAGAAGGTCATGAGATACCTAAAAACATCACGAACCATGAATTACATTATCGATAATTTACTATTGTCCTTGAAGGATACATTGATGTAAATTGGAACATCTTATTAGATGATGCCAAAGCAACCATTTACTACATATTTAGGATTTTTGGAGGAGTTGTCTCTTTAAATTATAAGAATAGACAATACCAATTTAGTTCACTATAGAGTTTTAGTTGATCGCATTGGCAACGTTGCCAAGGAGGCTTTTAAATTATAAGAATAGACAATACCAGTTTAGTTCATTATTGAGTTTAAGATGATCATACTAGGAAAATTTCCGAGGGTGCTTTTACTGAGGGCTTTGTGGTCATCAATAAGCCATAGGTAATTAAGCTTTTCCCACAAGCTTTCCCAATTACATAGGGATTTTGGCCCCTGGTAATGAAAAACTTTCATGTAGTGGACTAATTGTGAAGAATACAGTTGGTTAAGATGTTTCTAGAAGATATTCCTCTATGAAAAAATGGATACTCGTTATGTTGGTCAATTACAATAGTACTAGGGTTATTGAAAAAAATAAGAACCATTAATTTAACATTAAAATGTGAGAGAAAATATGTAAGCATGTCACTATTAGAGATTTAATATTAAAAGGAGCTATTAGAGAAGATCAAGTATGCATTGATGAAAATTTATCCAATCCTTTGATGAAATGATTAGCTATAGAAAAAGTTTAGAAAACATCGTATAAGATGGGACGATTTACTTTAGAAAACGAACCATTCATGATTCTTACTTGACCTAAAATATTGGAGATCCTTAGAATTAGGTTCAATATGTAATAAGAAGTCCTTGTTAGACTATGGCACGGATCTAGAAGGGGGGTTGAATAGATCCCAATTAAAATTTTGAGTCGGCGCTACCAATTTAAAAATTGGTTTTGAAAATTTGTTTTAAGTGCGGAAGCGGCCGAGGAAAAATATAGTCTAAAACGAACGGTTATTGGAAAACCGGATATGCGTAAGCCTTTGGATTAATGACAATATGGAAAATAGAATCACAACGCTAATCACACTTATCAATGATCTAATTCACTTGTTAGGATTCCTAGTTCCAATGATTTAAAGAGCAAACCAAAACTAGATACACAAGTAAGATAATTTTGGTTTAGGCAATTTGTCAAACACTTGGTGTGCAAAACACTCCAAGTGATATTTATGTTGAGTAAGTGATTCCAACTAGCCTAGTACAATGTCTTATTGTACTTTGGAGTCAAAAACAGAGTTTTAACCTCTTACTCAATTGATATCACAGTTTGACAATAGTGCTTATACAAAAAATCACTTATTTTTGAGCTAAAACGTAAATGCAGAAAAATAGAGAAGACAAGTATTTGGTGAGGCAGTTCCCCTGTCGTCCTCGCTTCGAGGTACGTCTGCCCTCAATTCTAAAACTAGAATTGAGATAGATTTTATAGATATCACCTGTTGAATGTAACAGTTTATACAAGGATTGAGCATCAAATATACAACAGAAATCTCTATACGTTGAATGTTGCTTTCACTCCTTGCCCCTTGATTCAAGATGAATCAAGTCCTCCGATCGTTGTTGATGGACCTCCGATTCCAGCCACCTTATTGAATAACCTGTTGTTGTTCAAACCTTCGGCTCCGGCTGATCTCAACAGAAACAAATCGAACCCGAGATCTTCCCTTCAATGTCTCTGAATCCGCTACTAGACTGTTGAAGAACACCTCTTCACAATCACATTCGCTCAGTTGACCCTTGATGAAGAATCTCGTCCAAAAACCCCCAAAATTCAAACCAATCTTGGAGGATAAAACCCTAACGGTTTTATTCAAGAAAGAACCTGTCACAAGCTTCAACCCGAACTAGATTACCCAATCTAAGCTTCAAACCTTATCACCTTTAATCACTCACAATGCACTTCAAAAATGGTTGTGTGTAATTGATGTGTTGTGAGATGTTGAAGATGAAGATGATGAATCTTGGTCACCTATTTCACTCTTTCTTTTTCTTGAACACATGAATCAATTTTATCAAATGTTAATGTGACATAAGTGGTTAAACTTGTATATATAGTAACAAACCAACCAAAGACATAACAATATTTCAAATAGTAGAGGGAATCATTTAAAAACTGGATTTCCGCGCGAACGGTCGACCGCAGCAGGTCTGTGCGTCGACGCATGGCCTGCGTTTTTTGGAAATCTGGAAAATGTATCAGTATGCGTCGACCATACAGTCGGCGTGCGCTGACCCGTTGAAAAATATTTCCTTCATGCGCCGACCCTATGGTCAACTCATGCCTTCATGTGCTTACCCGTTGAAAAATATTTCCTTCATGCGCCGACCCTATGGTCAACTCATGCCTTCATGCGCTGACCAGTGGAAAAATGCTCTGATGCATGCGCCGACCCTATGGTCGGAATCAATTCAATCGTAACTTAGAATATGTAATTAAAAGGTATGAAAATGATATTCATAATCATATACCTCTAAGGAAACACATGATCAATCAACGTTTCTCAAATTGGAAAAAGAGTCAAAAGAAATGCTTTGATCCTCTTCTTTTTATTTATCGAACCGAGAGATCCGTGAATAAGGATCCAAATACAAATAAATACAAATGGTCCAAGCCCTGAAGTGATATTATATGAACATGTTATAACAAATAAAATAAGTGTTATTCCAAAAGAGACGAGAGGGTGAGATAATAAAAGATCTATAAGATTTATACTGTATGTCGAGTGAAGTGCATAGCTACAAGAGTTTCTTGATAAAATCGTCTATATGAATATGAAAGTGGGGCACTTTTGCTATAGAATATACCTTAAAAAAGGTTGTGTGTGTTCTGAAGTTAGAATTAAAGTTCAATATTGTGAGTCACTCTAAAACAATATGGATCGTATTCACTAGGAAAAGTGATGAGGACAAACCTGTTAAGGACACGGGTAAACACTTCAAGGACTAAGAAGATCAATGAAAAGAGAAAGTGCAAGAAAGTTAAGGAACCCTTGGATTAAATGGAGACTCTTATCATGGAAGAAGGGCCTAACTTAGAAACCATGGAGCCTAAACTAGTTAACTTCATAAGTCTTCATTGAGAGAACGTGGGCACATGAGGTGTTTCCTATTTTATTTGTAGAACAAACAACCATCAACTGTTGT